TGCTGCCCCACGCAAAGAGTTCGAAAAGAATTCAGCTGCTAACTGCCAAAAATCAAAAATTTGAATTTGTACGCGAAATTTTGAACAGCAAACTTTTCTCAGACATTATCAAAGACTAGGAAGAGACTAGCAATTTTTAGTCCAATTTTGAAATTATTCGAAAAAACATTTGCTGCTAACGTCGTGGTGACGGAAATTCCGCGACGTTGAAATGGGCTGCATTTTGCAATTTGGAACTATAAATTCTGGCCCGGTTTAAAAACAACGTATGTGTCATTAGTTTCCCTATGCACATAAATGTTTTTTTCAGATGAACCAGAATTTATAGTTCCAAACTGCAAAATGCAGTCCAAATGTGGCTGCGTCCTTTCTTTAGAGCAACGACAAGACGATTTGCCACATATCTCTGCTCCTGAAACCTCCAGTTGAGCATGAGGCAGCTGATTGGAACGATTAGTGTATCAGGTACAGCGGAATTTTCATGACTTATGGAGCGCTGGTCGGAAAATTGATCGGTCACTGTTCTTTAGGGTGTGTCTTATTTTTGAGTTTTTCGAAATCCGAAAAGCGCTACCTCTAAAAAGTTTCTCTCTGGTGTAAAAATAAACATACTTTTTGAAAAATTCAAAAATTTTAATTTTAACCCACCTCTCACGGGGCCTAAAGGGCCTAAGTGCAAAATTTGAATTTATGGAATTTTGAAGTGTCAATCTGAGGTAGAAATTAAAAGTTACGTCCCTCTGAACGGAAATTTCGTCCGTTTTGCCGTATCGTGCATTTTAAAGGCATAAATAGCCTCTGAAACGTATTTGCTGCGCCGCGCGCGCAGTGCCGGCCGCGCCCTTGCACGCAGCGCACACACCTTTACTTACCTGACGCGAAAACGCGACGCGACGTCAGACCGCGGAAATCCCTAGTGGACTTTTTGTTCCTTTATTAATTAAAACTATCTATAAATAAAGTGAGGCACATTAAAATCTATGATGCACATCAGGTTAATGAAAGGTTTGCTACGGAGGTAAAACACATTTAGCCGAAATATTTGGGTTTATTCAGACATGAAAGTATCACAAACACTTCGAAAATTTACAGGCTTTTGATTTTCTTTTTCAAGTTCATTTTCTTTTTGACATATTGAGAAGTTCATAGCAAATCTTGATATTCATGCATCCTCTTTTACAGTTATTGATCGGCTTCATGTTTGCATGCGTCGAACTGCCCTTCCAGCGGAATCGTTGACCACACGCAAACTTTTTACAACTTCCTAAAAAAGGAAACTGTCTGGAATTTGTAAAGTACTGAAGAGCATTTTGCTATTCGTTGCAAAAAGATTTGCTAGGCTGGGACATTCTATAGCATAAATTGGTAGGTAATCGATCGGGAGGGTCAGGAAGACCATGGTTTGTCGTCAAATTGAGATGCAAGCAAGTATCTCTTTCCTCCGTGAAAAGCCGCATATCAAATAGAGGCCGTAACTTTTAATTTCTACCTCAGATTGACACTTCAAAATTCCATAAATTCAAATTTTGCACTTAGGCCCTTTAGGCCCCGTGAGAGGTGGGTTAAAATTAAAATTTTTGAATTTTTCAAAAAGTATGTTTATTTTTACACCAGAGAGAAACTTTTTAGAGGTAGCGCTTTTCGGATTTCGAAAAACTCAAAAATAAGACACATCCTACGTGTTCTTGCCCCTGCCTTGTGGGCCTCAGCCCTTTTCTCTTATGCAAAAATTGAGCTCCAAAAAGCTGGCTCCAAAATGTCTGCTCACAGCTCACTGTTTTTGTTTTCCTCACCCCACAGGACGCTGTACATAACTTTGCCAAACCTGATCCAAAAGACTACAATTTCCTGGGAGAACCTTTTGATTTTGATTCCATCACGATGTATAGCGAAACTACTTTCAGCAAGGTATGCAATTTTTCACTGCCGTCATTTAAAGCCACATCTGTTTAAACAACGAATATCAAATGTCTGCCATTTTTAGGGTTAACGCTTTTTTTAGAATATTCACAAACCTTCAAGAGCGTTGGCTCCAAGTTTCAGACTTCTGGCATAATTTTGCATTAAAATATGAATAGAAAACCCTGTTATACCCCTATACACAGCGTATGCGAGAATTCGTTGAAGTAATAAATATTGAGCCTAATATTTCGTTGAAGCCCAATAATCTCCTAAGGATTGTGTTTATGAGCAGGCTACAATAGCAATAAAAGTTAATGAGACCTGCAGCATGTGCAACTGCGCATGTGTCTTTGTCAAATATTTTCCCTATTTGATTGTATTGAAATTTGTCGGCATTTGCAACATTTAAGGCTCTTTTGAAACGAACTTGCACTTATTGAAATGATAGTTTTCTACGGTTTTTCGAAAGTTCAAATAAGTAGAGATCGTCCGTTTTGATCATTTGACCTTTTTATTCATTTATTGCTCATTAGAATGGATTGCCAACGATGAAATCGAAAGAAGGGAGGTCGATGGAGTATTTTCCCGAAGTGCTCAGCGCCGGTGATATTCGAAGAATTCAGGCTTTGTACCGTTGCGATGGTGAGTTTCTACTGCTTGCTTTATCTAAGTTGCATTCGCCAAAACCTTGAATCGAGCAGGAGCTGCTTAGGAGAACGGGTATAAAGTTGATTGATTAAAGTTGAAACCTGACCGCTATGACCGCACTGTGTTTGATGCAATGCGTGAAGTATTCGTGCAGTCTTGCAGGCGGTAATAAGTGTTACATGCCGATCGCCGCGCCGAGGGCTTCTTCTTTTCATCTCAAGTCCTTGTCATTATTTCTCTCTAAAGTCGCGCCGTTCCAGGCGAAATTGCGTGTTTGGTTTCTCCCTTGACTCGACTAATTAAAGGTGCTGTCTCTTGTATCACTGGAAGACAACAAAGTTAGAAATTACTGTACTCTTAGGAAATGAGAGATTTTGTCGCCTGTCCTCGTTTGTAATTTTTTTTCCAAATCCGATTTTTTTTATACCTATACATTTAAAAAATTGCAAAATTTTCCGCCCCCTGTAGATTTGCCGCCATGGGCCGCGGCCCATGTGACCATCCCCTAAATCCGGCCCTGATCTAAAGAGTTATTTTTTGGAATCATTTCTATAGAACATCGTAGAATCATGAAAGATATTCGGTGTTGATGATTGCATGCTTTCACTTTCCTCGCGACTGATGAAATATCAGCAGAGATTCTTTATCACCTACCGAGGCATTGCTCCTATTGCATCAAGCGCATCAATAGACTATATGACAAGGTACAAATTTAATCTGATAGATGTTTCCGCTTCAAAATTTCACGTGGAGCAAGACTCCTTGAGCGAAAATTACTGATATTACCTCCTAACCATGATATTAAAGTTCCAATATAACTCTGGTCGCGAAAAATTTGAATTTCCCGGTCACAGGAGAACCGGGGTCTACTTGAATCAAATTCCGCACTGCAACGGTCATGATAGGCTTATTCTTAATCGAGCACTGCCGTCCAAAGTAAAAATGGCGTAACTCCATTCGACATTTTTTCCATTTTTTCCTGATAGAATACTATTTCACAAGAAAACCAGCGAATGTTCATCCATCATTTTTTCTAGTCGATTTCGATGTACCATTAGGAGCTCAAAATTAAAAAAATAAAGCCTTGTCACACTTGGATTTTCTTGTGTGAGAGCAGAATGTGTGGAAGAAAAATAGGAAATTTGTCATGGAGTTACGGCGTTTTTTCTGTGGACGGAAGAGCAGTGTTCCTTCCTCGCATCGCGTTGTTCAAAGCATAAGCAATGTGCAACAGCTGAGCCGAAGCACAGTGATTGATATGTCATATTCTCATACTGCAAAAACTGTCATGATAACGTTTATTCTGCGATTTAATTCAAGTGGATTATCGCAGATAGTTTGAATTTATGAATCTGGAAACGTTGATATCTTGGTGTGGCGTTATTTTCAATAATTTTCGTCGCACAAATTGTATTCCATGTAAAACTCCGATGAGGCAACTTATATCACAATGTTTAAATTGTCTAATGCTGCTGTACCGAGGAAAAACGCCGTGCAAACATTCAAGAGTTGCCAAATTTCCTTCGACAAAATGCTTTTTCTGAGGAAAAATTATGAATATTTTCTTTGCAACTCTCAGGAGCTTTAGGTGAAATTGGTGAAATTGCACGAATTGACAATATCATTTGAAAAATTAGGGAAAAAACAGTGATAAGTTCACCAAAAAAGTGTGTCTTATCAAAGAAAATTTGGCAACGCCTGAAAGTTCATACGGCGTTTTTCCCTAACACGGCAGAATGGTCAATAGGCCTCGATTTAAACATTCCTGCGTAAAAGATATTTTTTCCAATTAATCAATAACATTTATTTTGTCTCTAATTCACGTAGGAGCAACTCAAAAGGCGAGTTTTCCTCATGATGTTCATTGCCCCTTCGATTCCAATGATTGCGGCTTCAGATTCAGGCGTGATGGTCTAGGCACTTGGTTATGGGTTCCATTGGATAAGGAAGATAAGAAAGGTTATCTCTATATATCTCTCTTTTCTATAGTCAGGATTATCGAATGTTGGCAATTCTTGCTTTCCTCCACTTAAAATCAAGCAAAACAATTAATATACGAGTATTTTGCATCAAGGTACCTTGTCTAGAATTAATTGGCTACCGTTTTGCCAAAAGGAACCATTATTTCTGGCTTATTTTAGAAACAGCATATATGGCATTGGTTCCTCTATGCAGAAAGGTGATTTTCTGGAGGAGCCAGCGTTGGTGGTTCCTCATTGTAAAATGTGATCCAATTGCTTATTATGTATTTCAATGGGGAGAAAAAAATCGTTCGGATTTGTAAAAAATAGCCCTTCTATTAGATTTAAAGATGTGGAAGGAGGGGAATTTTGATTGTGTTGCAAACCTTTTTAAGGAAATTAAAAAGCAAATGGTGAAAGTCTGCAAAGCTTATCCTCGTTTTTTGAGATGAGTCGTAATGTGTTTTCCAGTACCCACTGGTGGATACGTGGTCAGCGTGATGGAGCAAAAAGATGGCGTATTTAGAACGGACTATATTTTCAGCGTGAATTTCTTCGGATTAAGCACACTTGACAAAAAGCGAGGACCAGAAGGATGCATAGATTTCTGTTACAAGACTAAGACCCTTGGCAAAAAGCCCCCGTCTTTACAGGTAGGACCTCGTTCCGTAAAAGATAAAAGTCAGATTGGTGCACCTAATTAGGAAAGCCTAATTTAGTGCAATTTGGTGCATACTTTGGAAGGAATAATCGAGCTCTTTCATGTGTCAGGAATTTGTGATTTAAGCACTGATTCCTATGTGAAATTTCGCAAGAAATACGATGGTGCCACAAAGCTCATAAAAAGGTCTCACCTCTATATAAAAAACACGCCATGCGAAGTTAGGGAGCAAATACATTAACAGGATTGCCACTTTATCGGGGGACATTAAAACTGAAAAAACGGCAGTCGTGCTAATTTATTTCCCTACTTTTCCATAGAGAGTTTGTCTTGGTACAGAGCTGGACTCTCAGGGTAGCACGGTATATCCCCTCCATGACGGCCTCAACTTTGAGAGCTTTTTTGAGCTTCGGAGTTTGTTTCAGATACATATATATTATATTGTAAGATGAAGGTTCTCCAGGATATCAAACATTTTTCTAGAATCTTGTTCTGGAGCTTATTATTACATATCGATTGTGAAACTACCAGACCACGTATCTCGGTTTGCGACGTTGCAGACTTCCTGTCATATTTTATCTTTTAAATGCATTACTACTCAGCGTCAATTCTTGAAATCCTCTGTGATTTTTTTTCTCTGTTTGAAGAAAACTCTGTGAAAACTTCAAGGAATAATAGTGATGTGTACTCCTTCAAAAAAATTAAATGGGAGAGGAGATTTTCAAACACCGCAAACGAGAGACGTGTTCTAGTAGTTTCACAGTCGATCGATATTATGGAATTATTTATCTAACGAATTTTCACAATTTTCAGGGGAACTTTGCGTTTGAATTTAGATTAATTTTGGCCACGTTAAGATAAGGATGGCCAATCGTTACAGTTCTTGATAACATTTAAACGCATATTTTCTATTCTCTTAGTCATAATTTCCTGAGAAAAAATAATTTGTCCTCCTCGGAACTCCTTGCATAATATTTTTAAGACCTTTTTTGATGAAAATCAAATCAAATTAAACATTACCAAAATAACTTGATAGGTCAGAATTTATACTTATTCTTTGAATGAATCGAGGAGAAAAAATTTGAAGCAACTTTGGTTTGTAATGAAGACCAGCCTCGACCTCTTTGTAAAAGTTTACCTTTTACCATGAAAACGTTTACCTTCAAATATTGCTTAAAATCCAAGCAGATCTCTAGCATCTCTAGCAGAACTTCAAAAAATTGAGCAAGACAGGGAAGAAACAATTCTTCTTGTTTCCAAAATTTTAGCTAACTTTAAAAGGCCTCCGAGTCATTTTAAAGGATGATTTCTCCTTTAATGTGCCTGCATTGATGACTCAGCTCTTCAAAGCGGATCGAAACACAACCCTGGATTTCAATTTCGACACGGAGAGGTCTTATCAAATTTGGTCCAGTCCTAAAAAATTTAACGAGAAGTTTAATATGGAGTGGCGTGCCGTCTCTATTCGTGTAGACGTGTCAGAGCCATTTATGGTAAGTACGCCTGTTCAATAACGTGCTTGCTACGTGCGCAGAGGTGATTCAATGGGCCACTAGACAAAGTACCAATTTAGGCATTCTTATACATGTTTCTTAATTAGAATTTTACGTGAAACACGATTCTTGCATTGAAAATTACTGAAATCAACTCCTAACTAAGATATTCATGTTATTATATTACATCGGTCACGGGAAAATTGAATTGCCCGCTCACAAGAAACTCAATACTATACGTGAGTCCAATCGCTCACTACAACGGTTTCGGCAGGCCTCTCTATCGAGCCTTGTTCATTTCCCACCCAGTGTTGTTCAAACTGTAAACAACTTGCTATAGCTGAGCCGAAGCGTCAAGATTGAGGTTGCAAGATTTTCATACCGCAGAGACTGTCATGGTTTAGTTTAGTGTCCGATTTGACTCAAGTAGACCATTGTGTTTTCATGAGCGGGAGATTTGAATTTACGCGTCGCGTGAATTACGCGCATTGCATAAATCGTGCTCTACGTGAAATTTTGGTCAGGTAATATGTATTAGAATGCTTAACTTCGTACCTTGTCTAGTAGTCCATTGAACTTACGTTGTCTCTGAATTATACTTTTCTCTCCTTGTATTCTGCCGTGTTAAGGAAGAACGCCGTATAAACATTCGATATTTGCCAAATTTACTCCGATAAAACGTTCATTTTTAGGGACAATTATGCATATTTTTCCCCAAATTTTAAGGACTTTTAGGCGGAATTGCAAATTAAATTATCCGAAAAATTAGAAGAAAAATATTCATAAGTTTAACAGGAAATTCGTTTTTGTCTCAGGAAATTTGGCAACGCCTGAAGGCTCTTACGGCGAGTTTTCCTTAGCACGGTAGTATTCATCTCACTATTTCTGGACGCAGTAAATAATATATCGACAGTGAGACTACCAGACCACGCATCTCGTTTACGGTGTTTGAAAATTTCCTCTAACTTTTTATTTTCTTGGAAGAGAACAAGTCAATGTTATTCCTTGAAGTTTTCACGAGTTTTCTTCAAATAGAGAAAAAAAATCACAGAGGCTCTCAAGAATTGACGTTGAGTAGTTTTGCATTTGAAAAATGATATATGACAGAAAGTTTGCAACGTCGCAAACCAAGATACGTGGTCTGGTAGTTGCACCGTCGATATTTTAAAGTGATTGTAGGAGTAGTCAGGTGCGAGGCGTGAATGATCGTTTGTCGATATTTCCGTTTGAAGCCATGATAAGGAATCGATTATTAAGGTGTTCGTTGCTGACACTGTGTTTATCGATCCTTTCTCATAGGTTTCAGTGGCAGATCAATAGGGAGTAGTAGTTTATATTTATTTTTAACGGATGCCATAGCAACTTCGGCCACTCACCCTTTTGCGATTGAAAAACAGAATTTGTTGCAAAATTAGTAAGTTGACCCAAGAAAAGAACGGCTTGAGATTTAGAAGATAGGAAGAAAAATGGAATCATAGAAGATAATAATAAATCATTTAAAAAATAGAAAATAGGAAAAAAAGAAAGTAAATGAAATAATATTGCAGCTGTCAAACGTTCATCTTAAAATCATTGGGTGCATTTTAGAGGAAGAAGGCTTTGCAAAAGTATGGGCAAAATACACCCGATCATGCAAAATGGTCCATCGATCTATCAATTGAACAGAAAATGAAGAATACTTGCCATAGTTTTCCTGGTATTTTGGGCTACTTTGTCACCCTCCCCCTCGCTCCAGAATTTTAAAACAATTCATTATGGCATAAAAAATACATGCAAAGTTGCTAATTTTGAGCCTACAATTCCATGATACGCCAAGAAAACCAAGATGGCGTCCAAAAATATCCCTCCGATTGCCGCACCAAGGCTCGAAAAAGTGTAGGTATAAAAAAAAATCAGATTTATAAAAACAAAATTACAAACGAGAAAAGGCGACAAAATCTCTCATTTCCTGAGAGTACAGTAATTTCTAATTTTGTCGTCTCCTAGTGATACAAGGACAGCACCTTCAATAATTCGAGTTAAGAGAGAGACCAAACACGCAATTTGGCCTGGAACGGCGCGACTTAGAGAGAAATGATAACGAGGACTTGAGATGAAAAGGAGAAGCCCTTGGCGCGGCGATCGGCATGTAACACATATTAGCGCCTACAAGACTGCACGAATACCTCACGCATTGCATCAAACAGAGTGCGGTCATTGCGGTCAGCGTGAAACGGATACCGCCTACAAGAATGCATGAATACTTCACGCATTGCGCCAAACACACCTGCGATTTCCGACTTACACCGTCGATTGGCTTGCAATATAAGTGAAAACTGGTGTTTCTGCTTTTTCAGCTGATTTTTAAATCATCATTCGCGGACAAAACTCTGAAAGACTGGGTGATGGTCGATAATCTTAGTGTTAAATACACATCGTGTGAAAATCGGAAAGCAGTCGAAGGGTTCGATCCGATGAAAAAAATGAGTCGCCTCAGAAGACTGACTCGTCCTGCTTCCAAACCATTTACACCGGGATCTCCTAGATCATCCTCGTGTGGTCCGTCTCTGGGATCATTCTCAAGATCTTCATCAATACTATCACCTTCTGCGTCTTCAATAGGATCATCGTCGCGGAAATGGATTTCTGGATTATTATCAAAAGGATCTTCGTCAATATCACCAGCCTCTGACTCGTCAATAGGATTATCACCGCGGAGACGGATTGCTGGATTACTCTCGAGGAGGTCCTCGTCATCATCAACTTCACGCTCGTCCTTGGGATCATCTTTTCGAGGACAGATTTCCAGATTTTTCTCAAGGAAATCCTCGTCAAAATCATCAACTTCCGAATCATCCACACAGAAACCGATTTCTGGATGATTTCCGAGAAGATAGTTGTCAACATTTGGATTTGCCACGGTTTTTCACCAAAATTTTTCATCATGTAATATATGTGTCACGTTCTTAAATAAAGAAACCGTTATCCAAAGAATCTCAAAACCAATTAATTGGGACAGGAATTAATTAGAGTATGTTACGAGCATGTGAAAACTTCAACCTGCTGCTCTGCCGTGCTAAGGAAGAACGCCATAGGAGCCTTTAGGCGTTGCCCAATTTCCTTTGGTGACTCACAAATTTTCGGGAAAGATTGTAAATATTTTTCTTCCAATTTTTCAGATAATTTTGTTCGCAATTTCACCTAAAGTTCTTGAAAATTTCTTAAATAAATATTCATATCTTTCCGCAAAAATACACATTTTATCGAAGAATATTTGGCAACTCTCGAATGTTCATACGGCATTCTTCTTTACAGCACGGCAGTGTTGCGCCGCGGGCAAAGTAGTGAGTGATGAGTGCCTGCAGAGTGAAAACGCCTTAACCTCTCCGCTTATGCAACACGCACATCCGTGGAGCTTGAAGAGTTGCATCCAGGCGTTGTACTGAAATTCGCTTGGTGTTCGTTGCTTTGCTTGTTTCTCTCACGCCTCGAATCAATTCTAGCGTCTCCCCATTTCAAAGATGAAGCAAACTATTACTGAATTTTATCGTAACATTGTCAATTTGCTATAAAATGCTTTAATTTTCCAAATGTACTAAAACTTTGCCCTTTTAAAACGTGGGCTGCGGCCCTGCACGTTATGACCTAAGGACATTTTAAGAAAACATTTCGAGCGCGTATCCCAACATCTTTTTTTCTATGGAAGAGTAAAATTTAAGTCCAGTCAGAAAACACATCAACCGACGGCCAGTTCAGAATCCGGTGCTAAAGCAGACCCAAAACTCGTAGAAAAATGTCTGTTCGTCGAATCTTCATTCACGCTTTTGGAATTTTATCAATAAATTTCTGTGGATAATTCTTCAGCTGGGACGATTTTTTCCTCTGTACAATCAAATGAATCTTTCGAGCTTAGCGCCCTGAATTCATCAATTGTGAATCCAGTAGTAGTAGAGAAGAACGGGCCTCTGGAAAGTATAAAAGACAATGAAATGTAAGTTGCCGCGAGCACCGAAAAACCATCATTCAGACGATGGCATCTCACATATGTTTCGTCACGCCACGCCACTGGATAAGATCATCAGCTAGGACTAGCCAAAAATACCCAAAAATGCCTGCAAGAATTCCAGAAGCAACAGGTGGCTGGCACCACCATTGTTAATTAGGGGGGGGGATAGGGAAAAAGGGTATAGTCGGGTATTGAAATGTAAGAGCCTTCGATACATCCATGCTGCGTGGTGTAGCGTGAAACAATGTTTTCTTTTTTTTGCACGAGAGGAAATTGATAAACTGGATCCCACATTTTTTTATGTTCGATGCACCGTATGAGCTTCGTCGTGAGCGAATTGCCATGAACGTCTGAGAGACCCAAAAAAATACTGAACGACACGAATACTTTTTTGGAGGAACTTTCCTCCAAAACGTGTAAGTACATACCAAGAAAAGAGTGATCGCAGTAATTGTTGCGTTACACTTTAAATATAATACTTAAATGCTTTCTGAAGTGACCCCGTGATACAATCTTCGAACCAAAAAAGAAGAAGAACAATGTCGGTTTGAGCTGCATCGGTTTTTCCTCATGACGTGATGTATGTCGATTCTTTCTTCATCGGCTTTAGCCGAAAATTAATTGGATTTGACTTTTTTCGTGAAATGTACGATAGTAGACCCGCACACTCAACAACACGAGAGCAGTTGCTCCAGAGGGACGGCTTCCGGCACGTTAATTTCAGTCCATCATGTTCATGACTTTAAGTGTTCTATTGGTTTTCGCGGCTGGGGTCGGAGGTATTCAAGATCAATTGGCGAATGGTACAATTTATGATGTTCCAGACGAGTACGCGACAGTCCGGCACGAAGGTCGAAAAGTAAGTGATAGCGAACAATTCTCAAGTAATTAAAATGTGTTCGTCTTCCCTGCACTGACAAATTATTTGCACATTTTACCATACCCTGACACAGTGATGTGAGTTTGGTGATGAACACCAGCCTCTGTGGTAGCATTTACCATATAATGGCAAGTATCACTATATTTTGGTGAATACTACTATAACTCTGGTTATTTTCCCTAAATAGTATCACTGTGTGAAAAATCAAGTAGACTTATTGTAAACAAGGGGGCTATGCAAGGGGGCTAAGAGAGGGCGCTTCGCCCTCTCTTAGGCTCACTTTGGCAAAAGAACGACCGAAAGAAATAAATCGATTTTCATGCCCGACTCTCATTTGTCCAATCTTCCTCTGGCCGGGAGCGATTGGACCAATAAAAATCAAATAAGAAAATCGTCATTTATTTCAAACTTCAGCTTAGACTGAAACGAAACGGAACGAACGGACGGAGCGTTTCGTTACTTTTGGATAGTCTGTAGTAAAGAAGTATACCTTCGATTCAATTACCTTACCTTACTATCAGACCAATATTCACATTTCCCGCTTAGATCAATTTTGCCCCCTTTTAAAGCTCCCAGGTACACTCTATTATAAAGAAATCTGGGTCATATTTTCGAAATCTGCTAACAGCGAGCTCATCCAGAGACTATTACCTGTCGATAACCTTAAAAGTTATGGAAATCGGCCCAGTAGAACGCGCGAACGAACTATGACAAAAAATAAAAATTTACATTGTTTAAAAGGGAGAATTCGCAACTTTACCGCGCAATGTAAAAAAATCCTGGGTCATATTTTCAAAATCTGAATAAAACGGGCTTATCTAGAGACAATTGCCTGTCGAAAGTCGCAAAAATGAAGAAAATCGGCTCGGTAGAACGCTAGAACAAAGCGTAACCAGATATGCAAATTTGGAAGGTCTCGGATAGCTTATATATAGTAGGGGGTATGCCCCCTAGCTGCTACGCGGCCCAACCCTCAGAGGGCGCATTGCGCTCTATTAGGCCCGCTTTGACAAAAGAACGACCAAAAAATGAAAAGATTTACATACTCGACTCTCGTCTGTCCAATCTCCCTCTGACCGGGAGCGATTGAACCAATAAGAATCGAATAAAAAAATCGGCATTTATTTCAAACTTCTCGCAAAGACTCAAACGAAACGGAACAAATCGTTTCATCGCTTTGGATAGTCTGTGCCAAAGGAGCATACCTTCTATTCACCTACCTTACTCTTTTAACAGACCAAGATTCTGCATTTCCCGCTTAGTTTAATTTTCCGCTAAATTTGAAATTCCCACCATTTTTTATTGGCGGGAATTTCAAATGTTGCCCCCTTTTTTAAGCTTCCTGGTCCTCTCTTAGATAAAAAAATCTTAGGTCCTATCTTCAAAATCTGATTAGAGCGGGATAAGTGTTCATTCCGTGTGCGTAAAGTTTTCAGCGGAGCAGTCCTTCTCAAGACGGGTCGGCAAATCGGATTTTGTGACCTAGACGTGAAATTCGGAGATAGTGTGTACCTAAATGAACGTTTGCTTCAAGTCTGCATTTCCGAGGCTCCTTTTTTAGAGGAGCATTTGTTCTAAAACACAATCTTCGACAAAAATATTTTGCTCTATGGACATAGAAATGTACTTTGAAAACTTGAACGGGATTTTCTCAAAACTTGAAAACTCGATATCCGCTGCTTAGAAATACGGACGGTGAAATTCTCAAGTCACATATCTCGTCTGCAGTGGTTGAGGTGATTCGACGGTCGTCATTTTTTTCAGTATCAGTATTTCAGTTTCGAATGCGATATTTTTCCTCTAAAAAAACCCTGTCTTTATTATTTTTAATTTCTTTGTCAAATTTGGTACATGAATTCTTTAGTCACATGACAACAGAAATGCAATCTCAAAATTCGATACAAATGACAAGTAGCTGAAATTATGGAACGAATTGATGCGATATATCGCACGTCGCTCTGACACAGAAAATGCCAACCGTCGAATCACCTTACTTATTTTTTATTTTTTGAAAGGAGAATAAATCGATATGATTCCTTGAGGTTTTTTCAGAATTTGTTCCGCACAGAGAACAAAACTCACAGGAGGCTTTAAGAATTGTCGTTGAATAGTCCTTTAATTAAAAAATAAGAAATGACAAGAACTTTGCAACGTCGCAAACCGTTGGTTTGGAAGTATTACTGTGCAGTATCGATGCGCAGCTTCGTACACTGATGTACCTATTTTTTCTTTTTGTTTTTTCATCAAGGCCCGGTCCAAGAAACTACTCAAAAACCCCAATTACATATGGCTAGCAGCGGGTGTATACTACAGTATGGATGATTCCGTCGGTATGTTCGGAGTAAACGACATTTTCTTCAAAATAAAGCTGAAATTTACACGCGATTGCAACGAATTTTGGATTTCCTATTCTGTTTTGTTCCTTTAAATGATGCCAAATTATCAGAGGAAGAAACCGAGGGTGTCACTGCCGTGGTGAATGAAGTCAAAAACCTGACATTTCAAAGGGAGATATCTCGGTTAATGTTCGAACATAGAAAGTTGCGGTTTGGATGGATCATATTATTTTCAGCTAATCTACAAGAATCAAGCATCAAAACACGATTCTGTAACCAGCATTACTGACCCATTGTGTTCTAATGCAGCGAACTCATGATTTGTTGAAGATTTTCACTTTAAATAATGACAACGTCACGACCCGGCGTTTCTAAGAAAAACTGCGACCAGTTGGAGGCGTCTCGGGAGATATTTTTATTTCGTCTAGTGTTTAAAATTCGGAAATGTCTTGAGGCATTTTTGGCCGTTTTTGCACATACCTCCTTCCCGCGTTTGACAGCATTTTCCAGTCACCATACCTGGACAACAGCAACAGCAACTTGTGGTTAACGAAAGCTGGCAATGGACCACTAGACAAGGTACGAATATAAGCGATCTGATACATGTTTCTTAACCAGAATTTCACGTGGAAAACGATTCACTCAACGAAAATTACGGAAACCAACTCCTAACGAAGATATTAACGTTTTTATTTCACATTGGTTACGAGGAATTTGAACTGCCCGCTCATAAGAAACTCAAAACTCTACGTGAGTCAAATCGCCCACTACAACGGTTTCAGCAAGCTTCTCAATCGAGCAATGTTCATTTCCCATCATGTGTTGTTCAAACTATTAGCAATTTGCTATAACTGAGCCAAAGCGTCAAGATTAAGGTTGCCAGATTTTTATATCGCAGAGACTGTCATGATAACGTTTAGCGCGCGATGTGAATCACGTAGATCATTGTGTTTTCATGAGCGGGTGGTTTGAATTCACGCATTTAGAATCATTAAATATCTTCGTAAGGAGTTAATTTCGGTAATTTTCGTTGTGTGCATCGTGTTTTACGTAAAATTTTGGTTAAGAAACATGTATCAGAATGCTGAAATTCGTACCTTATCTAGTGGTCCATTCTAAATACAATATTCATCGACACGACTTGCAGATTGATTGAAGAGAGAGCTGGTGCGTGGGCATAAAAACCTGGAAGGCATACACAAAGAGGCCATAAATCGCTAGATCGATAATCATGTTTCACTTGTAAACAAACAAACAAAAAAAAAAACAACAAAAAAATGAACAACATGGAATCGGTAACTATCGGCATTTGCCGGCAACCGCAGCGCCAAGTCAGCCCGTACTAGAGACAAGAGACCCTCCACTAGTATCTTGGCCATGGTGGAAGCTTTTACTTTCGGGACTTCAGCATTCTACTGTTGACTTACCTACATGGTTGATGTTCAACAACGTGTCGGCAGTTTCGTTTTGCAAACAAGCCGAAGATGACCGACGTTTGGGAAAGTTGTTTGGCTCATGACGTCACCCGAAGCTCATCATCGACCATGTAGGTAGGTCAACAGCCGAAATTAGGGTGATGACTGTTGCTCCCTTATAATTGTCCATAAGGAACTGTTGAATCCCCGAAAGTAGAAGCTTCCACCTGTCGCCAAGAGGCCAGTGGAGGGTCTCTTGTCTCTGGCCCGTACATACCGTTCGCTCGTTTCTGGTGACTGGTAAACTGCTTTCAGACGCGGGAAATTTGAAAAAACGTATTCCAAACTACGCAATTTGCGCACTGAGGAGTTGATTTCACATTTCGGTATAGTGATCATGGCAATTGTTGATTTTTTTTTCCACTGTTCATTCACACGGCTGTGTCTCAAGTGTAAAAAAAACTCATTGAGAGCTAACGTGAGAAGTTCAGAATTTGTAGATCTCCATCCGAATCCGATCTGACCTCCGTGCGTTTTTACCGTAGGTAAGTCTTTCACTCGGATGTATCTCTCGCAGTGGTGCGGCGTGAATGATCGAATATCGATACTTCCCCATTTGAAGCTATGGTAAAGAATCGATTCTTAAAGTGTTCGTTACGCTCACCCTGTTTATCGATCCTTTTCCATTGATTCTAATGGCAGATCAATCTGTATCGCAAAGCAGGCCGCGACACTGATCTCTCACGAGCAACAGGCTCATTGCAATCAGAGCGCCCTGTAAATAATTTTATTGTCCCTCTATCTCTCTTTTTCTGGAATATTCTTAATGTTTCTCTCGTTTTTTAAGGATGTCCGTGGTCTCAGGAATGTGAGCTCGTCAGAGCGGCCATGCGTAGTTATGAGGAGAAAACTTGCGTGCGCTTCAAAGAGAGGAGTGGAGAAAAAGATTTCGTCCGCATTATCTCGTCGTCAGGCTTAAAAAAGGGGTTAGTATTCATAGGGTCACACCCATAGTCGCTCCTTAAACGGATCTCCTCGTTAGGTGGCCCATATGGTTTATAGATTGATCTACGGAGATTCAGGTAGGTAGATCCTTACCATAGCATCATAAAGAGGACAATGGACCACTAGACAAGGTACGAATTTCAGCATTCCAATATATGTTCCGTATCTAAATTTTCCCGTAGAACACGATGCGCACAACAAAAATTACCGATAACAACTCCTTACGAAAATATTAAATGATTCTTGATGCGTGAATTCAAATCACCTGCTCATGAAACTTTTACCGCAATTACAAGCTCAACTCAACTTTTTTTTTACCGTAAATGCAACGTTGGTAGGCTGATTGTGGAGATCACATTTTCACAGATTGAAGTAACTTCATTGCAGGAAAGTGCACGACACTGTGAAAGGCCACAAAGTAAAGAGGAAAATAGCATAGAAAATTTATAATCGCCTTGCATAAAATTTTTTAAAAAAGTAATGAGGTGAAGATTACTTGACGACTTGTTGTTGCAGCTAGTGTTAGCGTGGCATTTCGATGTGCAAATGCGGCCACTTTTTTACATTTGCCCTAATTGTTATGTTTGCGTTAAAAAAAAGGTCATAACGCTGAACAAAATGTCATTTGTACTTCCACAATCTGATGCACTTTACCATTACGAATCTCTCTAGAAATTCCTGCAAACCTCCACGAGAAATCCCTCTCTGTTGCTCTCAGCATATCTAATGTCCGCTTAATATAACCTAATCTAACAGTTTAGGCGCACTCAAAGGAGTTTTGTGCAGGTTTTTATTTGTGACGGGCTTGACTTATAAATGTAGAATCTAGCACTGGCAACCTTTAAACTCTAGCGTAAGTTGTAAGACTTTTAAGTCTTAAAAAGTGTAGTAGCACCGAAGTGTTGAACTTCAATAATTTCAAAAATGTCTGTTTTCCTAGGTTTTCCGGACATGCAGATTTAGGAAGAATAGGTGGCGAGCAAATGGTGACTATTGGCCAATGGAACATGAATACCGTCTTGCATGAACTGGGGCACACCGTAGGTCTAATAGATGAGCACATGCGGCCAGATAGAGATCTTTACATGGAAGTTTTACAGGACAACATCTTTCCGGTAGGACCTTATCATTGAAGTCCAACCGACCTGCGTTGATTTGATGGTGGGATTTTAGAATGATAAGAATAAAAATACAGTTTCATGGCTCACATAAAGTGCCAAGAGATTTTTTACTTAAATGCTTCAGACTGATTGAAAAGAAGAAGAGGAAAAATATTGAGATTTTTTGTGAGAGATCACATTACTATAGTCTCCTGAAATGATATTTGAAAACCTAAGGTCCATTTTACCACATTAGATCCAAAGCTAACATAGAGAGGATAAATGATGTAGGTAATGGTAATTGAACCGCGTTTATCTGTGCGGAACCAGCCACATCGGCTATTGCCAAATTTTAGTGGGCAATTTAATATTTTAAAAGAGCGGATTCCTTTGAAAATGCTCCGAAGTTTGCTTCGTACTAACCAAAAATTAACTGATTTATACAAAAATCCGGGCAAACGTTTTCATGTAAAAAATTAATTGCCCGATTAAACTTGGCAATTGCTGATCTGGCTTGGTTTCTCTCTACTTAACGCGGTCCCATTGATGATAGTCTGCAAAAAATACGCATAAACATACGCGTATACTGAGCCGAGGACATGTTACATCGCAAGAAGAACGCTACGTAAAGTGGCGAAATTTTCTCTTCAGATTACCCACGTTCAGTTTTCAAATTTAGGTATCGTAATTGATTCCCTCAAAAGATAGGGATGGATTTCAATAATCTGGATCTTTTAACTATGCACCTCACCTCCGCTGTTATATCCTATTTCTGAGACTGGCGGTCGATCGAAACGCCTAGTGATGTACTTTAGCAAGCGTAACGGAATATTTATGGTTTGATGGGATACGTACTGGACAACTTTGATCAGTCACGGCTTTCAACTCTGGCTTGAGGATCTAAGCCCTTTTATAAAATGTAAAAAGTACGATTGTATACGTCGGCTCCAAAATGTGTGTGTTTTTTACTATTTGTTTTACTTTTCCCACAGAATCTTTTACCTGCTTTTGACAAAGAAGAAAATCCAAACAGGGTCAATTTGTTGGGAGAACCTCTTGATTTCGATTCTGTTATGATGTACGGCGAATATGCCGGCTCCTCGGTATGGTATTCTTCTCTGCTATCGTTTGTACATTATTCTTGATGCGGCATGATGAAACTTATCGTTCCAAACAAACCGCGTTTTCTTATTATTATTATCTTCTATGAATTGAGGGAATAAATATAATAATCGACTATTTGGGAGGATTCTTATTAATAGGCCTATTGGTGAACAGTTTGTAAATCGTTTTATCGAAATGCATTGCAATGTCCTTATCGTTGATCCAAGTCTCTACTTCAGCTAAATTTTTGTACATTAGCTAAATTTCCTTTTCAGTATAAAATAGAACATTGAAACTCGTCTATTAGTCATAAGAAATGGTGTCAGTGCTGTACTCTGGCGACTCAAATTAGAACTTGGAATGGACAGTCAATTTGCCACCGGGTATGTAGCACTACTAAAAAAATGGCAAGACGTCTTTTCCTAGGGGCTTAAGAGAACGGGATTATTTATTTGCGCAAAAACCAAAATCAGCTTTGTTGTCAAATTTGATATTGAGCAAGAAAAATTTGGTGGCGCTGCGGCCAGGAAACAGGGGAACTATGTCAATGCCGTTATTATTGGCAAGTTTCAGACATTGCGCTTATGCTATACTAATAAATGTGCGGTTCTCTCCTGCAGAAATACCAGTATGTTTTGCATCAATGATTATGCTTATGATTACACGGGTGATCTGGTTGCAGATATAAGTCACGTAATTCTGCATCGAATTCGGAATGCTTTCATCATGTGACGTAATTACTTAACTACAAATAAACAACATGCATTCTTTGTTTTGCTACTTACAACATGGAAACCAGAAACGTAAACTGGATGCAAAGCGTTTTTTATGTTGTTAGTTTTTAATTTGACTACATTTAACAGTTGGGAACTAAAGCTGGCTCATCTGTAGAAACAGATAAGTGTACAATTGTACATGACAACTGATGAGATCTACGTTCTACGTTGTCCCTAAACTGAATGACAAATTGTGGTGCCTAATTGCAAAATTCAGTCCAATCAGAACCTGCAGCGCATGATGGCGAGCATTTCCAGTTTCACTTTGAGTTGAGACACGAAAATTACTAATCTGTATCGAATGATGCCGTAGTAGTAGTACTTTTTGAGTTCACAGGCTTGAAAATACGAACATTTTACACGAAATTGTAAGGATAATCAAAAATTATTTCCAATCTACGAGTCCTAAATTATCAATCGATTAATAATATTTTTCATTTTGTTTTCTTTAAAATTTTTAAGACATTTTCAACTTTTCTAAATTTCCTAAATTTTAAACATTTAAAATTTTGATTTATTTCATTGATGTGAATTAACATGGTTGTTTTTAGCTGATTGCGGCTCGGTTGCCAAACTTCGTTTACTCAAAATAAGTAAAATCCAAAAATAAGGATAAAAACAGACAATGGACCATAATACAAAGTACGAATTTAAGCTCCCCCTTGAGCGTTGCGTCTTCAATATTTGGACTGCATTTTGCAATTTGGAACCATAACTTCTGGCTTTTCTGGAAAAACACACACACGTTGTTTTTAAATCGGGCTAGAGTTTATAGTTCCAAATCGCAAAATGTAGTCCATTTCACATAGAACACGACTCGCGCGACGATGATATATTATATTGACCGCAAACCAAGATAATAACGTTGTTTTTTGGCATTGTGAAATAATTTGAATATCCCACTCACACTCACAAGAGAAGCAAAAGTCTGTTTGAATCAAATTTCGTACTTAAATGAGTTTGGCAGGCTTTTCAATGATTGAGCAGTGTCCTGCCCCCACCCTGTGTTGTTCAAAGTGTAAACAAAGTGCAGTATACGGAGAAGAAAACTTCGATTCATATAAAGCGATAGATAGAGAAGACACAGGACTTCCTTTGTCCATTGCAACCACCCGCCTCCACCAATGGGATCGCCCCATTTTCCTTCTGTCTTTTATTCTAATGCTTCTTATGTCAATTCCAATAATCAGCCCGCAGGTAAACGAGGTTTTCAGTTATAGGAACCGAACTTCTGTTCTAAAAGTATTTGTTAGGTGTGCTAAGACTCGTATTTGTCATAAGAGACACTTCGGTTATCTGAACTGAAGTCCGGTTCTTAGAACTGAAAATTTCGGTTTTCTCGACTGAAAACTTTAGTGCTCCGTATTAACTGAGGTTCAGTTCTCAAAAACGAAGTTCTTTTCTCCGTGTAGCTGAGCCAAAGCGTATTGATATTGTCTCACGTTCATAGAGACTGTCAAGGTAATGTTCGGCTTGCGATTTTATTCAAGTAGATTATAGCTTTTTAAACGCGAGTTTGAATTTATGCATCGACGTTAATATCATATCCAGGAGGCATTTATTTTTCTTTCGTTGCACACATCGAGTTCTACGAAATCATTTTGAATAGTTACACTCGCACTTCGTCTAGTGGTCCATTTTCAATGTTTTTTTCCTACGTTTTGATCGGTGCTTAAATCTTCCGCAATACGGAAATCTTTTGGCATTTGAAACTTTTTTGGCTCGATTTTGAAAGACCCGATAATAATACTAAAATGACCGTTTTCTGCACAGAAAAAAATTGATGGTGCTGACGACAGAACCTTTTGTTCATACGGCTCCCACAGTTTCTTTGTTACACTTACAGAACTTTTGGTCGTGGGAACAGAGTACTCTGTTCCCACGACAGAAGTTCTGTTCTCACAACAGAAAAGTTCTGTAAGTGTAACAAAGAAACTGTGGGAGCCGTATGAACAAAAGGTTCTGTCGTTAGCACCATCAATTTTTTTCTGTGTGTGGCTTTCGAAGGCTGAAAAAGTTGGAGATTGTCAGTTTGTATCATATGCGGCTCTATGTAACGTAACATTTTTGCTGATTAGAATGGAGAACCGGCGTTTAGAGCAAAATCAGGGCGCCGGGTACCTGAACGCCACGAGCTTAGCGCAGGGGATATTCGACGAATCGATGATCTGTACCGTTGTAATGGTAAGGTTAATCTGATTTTTTTCAGGTTCCATCCCAGGTCAAAACTTCCTTGCAGTTTCAGGAGGTTAGGAATTAAAAGAGGGGAAAAACGGGAGGGGGGGAGGAGAGAGAAAGAGGTATATATAGCACACTGAGGAAAAGCTACGGCTTATAAACCGCAATCAGTGGTTCATATAGAACACCATTAATAGTAGTAAAGGCGACATGTAATATTATAGTTATTCAGTTGGCAGTGCGTGAAAACGAGCTCAACTGTCATGTATATATGCATCGTCATTGGTGGATCCAGCAAATTGGCAACACTGTTTTTCTCCATTTAAACCTATCGATTCTTGGAGAGACCGGGTGCTCCGACAAGAATCGATTGCTTAACATAAGTTTAAATAGAGGGAGCCCGGTGTTGCCGAATGGACCACTAGATAAGGTACGAATTTCAGCATTCTGATACATGTTTCTTAACCAAAATTTTACGTAAAACACGATGCACACAACGAAATTTACCGAAACTAACTCCTTATGAAGATATTTAATGATTCTTAATGCGTGAATTCAAACCACCCGCTCATGAAAACTCAAAGCTCTACGTGATTCACATCGCGCGCTAAACGTTATCATGACAGTCTCTGCGATATAAAAATCCGGCAACCTCAGTCTTGACGCTTTGGCTCAGTTATAGCAAATTGCTAATAGTTTGAACAACACATGATGGGAAATGAACATTGCTCGATAGAGAAGCTTGCTGAAACCGTTGTAGTGGGCGATTTGACTCACGTAGAGTTTTGAGTTTCTTGTGAGCGGGCAGTTCAAATTCCTCGTAACGAATGTGAAATAAAAACGTTAATATCTTCGTTATGAGTTTGTTTCCGTAATTTTCGTTGTGTAAATCGTTTCCTACGTGAAATTATTGTTAAGAAACATGTATCAGATCGCTTAAATTCGTACCTTGTCTAGTGGTCCATTGCTGGATCTACCTCTGAGCATCGTGGCCAAAACTGCATAAACAGGTCCTCTGCTGCATGAGGAAACCATTGGAGAACCTAGTATGAAAGACAAGTGGAGAAAAAGAGAGAAGAGGGGAGGGGAAAGAGGAGTTCCAAAAATGTGTTGGAAAAATGACGAAAAACGATGAAAAACTTGTGGTCCCCGATCCATTCAAATACATCGATACATCAGTGGTGACAGTTTTAATCCTCCATATAAGTGCTTGCAAAACAATCGATTCTTCATGAAGCAGCTTGCCTAACCTCATATCGATATTTTTAATGAACTTAAACGGAGGAAAAACAGTGTTGTCAACTTGCAAAATCACCACTGTGATACATCAAAGATCTGTTGATATAATCAATATATTGATATTTGATGTATTCATTTTGCAAACATGTCTCTTTTTTGCCGAACAATGCCAGGAGGCGTACGCCTGGGGCTTATACGTCAAAATTAGTAAAAAAAAAAACACTTAATCTGCGTGGCTGAATCGTCGATTTTGAAAACTATGAAGACGAGTGAATCGTACAAATTGAAATGAACTGAATGTAATAACTCAGCGGTTAATTTTAAATTAAAGTGAGTGCTGTATTCAAACGAATCAATTTGATACAAATAAATATAATTTCAAAACGTGTTCAACGTAGGGATACTTGAATAAAATAGAATTGCTTTAATATTTCCATTGCTTCTCGTTCATTTATAGGAACGTTTCCAAAGCCGAGGTTCCCTTTCGATATCGTTTGCGACTTTGACGAAGATGATTGCAACTTCAGATTGAAAAAAAATGGCAAAGGCACTTGGTCTTGGTTACAATTGGATAAGAAAGGTTATTCCTCTTTTCATTGGTCAAATTTTCCGAAAAATGGTATCTCTGGGTCTTTTCTTTTAAAATCAAGTAAAAACAGTGATAATTATCAAAACAGGGTGTTTTGCCTTGAATTGGTTATTTGTAATAAATTTAAACGGAGAAAAGAATTTCACAAATTTGCAAAAAAAAAGCAACCTTTCATTATTGAAGCGATCAGAGTAATGGGAAGAGGGAATTCGTTCAATTTTAACGTTGCAAATGAATGGATAGATGGTTTTAGTCGAGAGATTGGCAAAGATGAATACATTCTATCCAAACGCTGATCGATTCATATCGATCGAATCCATACCCTCCTTTCAAAATTAGCCTTTTCCTTCGAACTTCCCATTATGATTGAAACAGAACGAGCGGAACGGAACTTTTAGTCAAATTTGGGTGCCTGAATGGCGGAAGATCATACTAAAGTGTGGCGTTGGGAAGGGGAGGAACTAGTTACGGGAACTAAGAACCATGATTACTTTCAGTGTGGAAACCTTTTCATATGCAATTTGAAAGACACAAAAAAAATCACTAAAACACTGCCACTTTCGGTGCGGTTACCTCCATACCCGATAACGCGCGGGAACGCTAAACTGGCTGCTCCGTTGCCTGCTGCCCTAACAGCAAAAAAAGCACACATGCTTCTTTGAAGCAGCGCGAAAAGCTCAGCTTTCCCGTAAACAGATCGCTACCGCGATCATTTTCCGGAACTCTCGCACGTAGCCCAAAACAAGCGCGTCTCGAATAGACCTTGCTGTTTAAACAGTGCTTCTATTTCCCGGAACTAGTTCCGAATTCCGGCACTTTTGAGATTTTACCCGGAACTTTTTTTTTTTTTTTTTTTTTTTTTTTTTTTTGAGAGAGAGAGTTTTGTGGCTTCTATTCCTTTTGTTATGAATCTTTAGGAATCTACAGCCATCTATAGACGCTATTTATTGTCCTTAGACATCAGGGAGTTTGGTAGACATCCATGCTCGGGCTTACAAATTTTCACGGATTAAGGCCGAGTGAATTCCACTTGCAGATCCACTCGTCAGTTCCACGGAAATTTGTCGCCATTTAGGCTAGCAAATTTCCAGGGATTAAGGCCGAGCGAATTCTGCTTGCAGATCCACTCGTCAGTTCCATGAAAATTTGTCGCCATCACCGGGATTCGAACCCGGGACCTATTGACCTGGAGTCAGACGCGCTGAGCACTAGGCCAACCTGGCCGGCTACCCGGAACTTTTGAAAGTCACGAAATGTCCCGGATCTTTTGCAGTTTCCGGAGCTTTCTTGGAACTTTTGAGAAAAACCAGGGGGAATCCCGGAACTTTTTACGGTCATGGAGTGGGAGACATTGCAACAAAAAAGTCCCGAGCCCCGGAACTTATGACGAGCATGGAATGGAAGAAAATGTATTGAAACACACTTTGCTCGTATAGGAACTTAGTGATAACGCATGGATGCCCCCGACAAAGCTCGTTTCCTCATAGCGGTACTACTACACTACCTTCATTCCACTTTCCTTCGCCAATGCATGTAGCATCACTGATTGATGAAACCGAGGGGCCAAAAACGGAGGTATGCATTCCCCGTAGGATGACGTCATACTTCACATGCACGTCAAAATTAGACTTAGAAACTTGACGTTTGAACACATCTAATTGGACTACATTTTGCAATTTTATTTGAACCTATAAATTCTGGCTCATCTGAAAAAACACTTATGTGCATAGGGAAACTAATGGCACATACGTTGTTTTTGAACCGGGCCGGAATTTATAGGTCCAAATTGCAAAATGCAGTCCAATTATACAGGATTATTCAAAAGTCACGCACCACTGGCCATAACTTTAGTTCTGATTATGATATCGATTTGCGGTTTAAGACGTGTTTCTTCATATCGAGGGGGAAACTTTTTTAGGTACTTCCCAGTTTTTGATCCCCTCGGGGGTGGGGGGCGGGGCAACTCAAAAATTTCAAATGGCCACCCCCTTCATGGCCAGTGGTGCGTGACTTTTGAATAACCCTGCATGTATTTTGGCTAAATAATCCTCCGTCAGTATCGACTCCTCTTTTCTGAAGTGTAGTTACTTTGCTTTATTGAGGAGCCTTCAAATAAATGCATTTACCAACCAACCACTCATTATCGTGTTTTCCAGATTTCCTCGGTGGATACCTGCTCAGCAAGATGGAGCCAAAAAATGACACACTTTTGGCGGACTACGTTTTTAGCGTGAATTTTCACGGTTTAAGCCCAATTGACATAAAGCGAGGACCAATTGGATGTGTGGAGTTTGGTTACATGACTAAAACCTGTGGGAGAAGAAAGCCCCCGTATTTACAGGTATAGGGCCTTGTTCGGTAAAATATGCGAATGGGCTTCGTCTACTATGCTGTCGTGCTAAGGGAAAGCTGAAGGTCGCAGGGAAAGCTAAGGGTCGTATGAATCTTCAGACGTTGCCAAATATTCTTTGATAAAACACGAATTTCCTAGTAAATATATGAATTTTTTCCTTCCAATTATTCATATAATTTTGTTCGCAATTTCACCTAAAGTTCCTGAAAATTTCAAAGAGAAATACTCGTAACATGCCTCAAAAATAATCGTTTTATCAAAGGGAATTTGGCAACTCTCGAATTTTAAACGTCTACGAGTCGATATATCGATCTGACATACACAACTCTTGCGATTTTCTACGGATATTCGATGGTTCTTTTGGACTGACATTGGAAACATCTACCAGACATGACTGGAGCACATCGATTCGTTTGTGATTATTCTCGCAAAATCAATTTTTAAGAAGTCGACGAGTCGATACATTGACTGGTCATATTGATTTCTTGTGATTTTTATGGAAAATCGATTTTTTTGAACAGGAATGAAATTGGTTACTAACGGTCCGAGGGTGGAGATATGCACCTGACACGGTCGGAGCACGCCGATTCCACGTACTTTTACACGTAGAATCATTTCCCGTCGGGTGCATTCCTTCATTCCCATTTTGATTAAAATCGAAATTAATTCAACTTCAAGAAACTATCAGATTTCCGTAAATCACAAAAAATTGATTTGTCAGATCGCCAAACCGACTCGTCAACCTTAAAAATGATTCTATGTGTAAGTACGTGGAAACGGCGTGCTCCGACCGTGTCAGGTGCATATCTCCACCCTCGGACCGTTAGTAACCAATTTCATTCCTGTTCAAAAAATCGATTTTCCATAAAAATCACAAGAAATCAATATGACCAGTCAATGTATCAACTCGTCGACTTCTTAAAAATTGATTTTGCGAGAATAATCACAAACGAATCGATATGCTCCAGTCATGTCTGGTAGATGTTTCCAATGCCAGTCCAAAAGAACCATCGAATATCCGTAGAAAATCGCAAGAGTTGTGTATGTCAGATCGATATATCGAATCGTCGACGTTTAAAATTGATTCTACGTGTAGAAATTCGTAAGAATTGATGTGCTCCAATCATAAAGGGTATATTTCTCCGATCTTGGATGGTGAGACACCTATCTCAATCCCGATAAACCATCGATTTTCCGCAAAAAATCGAAAAAATTCAATACAATTGATCGATATATCGACTTATCGAGGTTATAGATCGATTCCACGTATAAAAATACGTAAGAGTCAATTAATGTGTCCCAATCATGTTGGGTACATATTTCCGATCTCGGATGGAGCAAACCCGATTCTAATTCCGAAAAGTCATCGATTTTCCGTAAAAAAATCGCAAAAATTCGATACAAACGATAGATAAATCGATTCGTCAACATTTAAAGTCAATTCTACGTATCAAAATACGTACTGTTACGTGTGCTTCAGTCATTTCAGATGTATTTTTTCCTTTATGAATCGAAAATAAACAATTTCGATCCTGAAAATTCATCGATTCTCCTTAATAAATTGTTCAAAATCGATTAAACTGATCAGTATATCGATTCGGCAACGTTAAAAATCGATTCTACGTGTAAAAACACGTAGGAATCCATGTGCTACACGTGCGTAAACAACGATAAGAGCCCCGTCGATACATCAATTCTACAAGAAAACAGCAAAAAATTAGGCCGGATTAAGACCCCTTTGCCCCCCCGTAACTCGAAAACGGTTCCTATACTCATCTTGAAATTTTTTCCTGAGTTTTTTGTTATTATAAGCTTCCATTTAAACCTTGGTCCGATGGTCGAATCAAATACCTAAAAAGGGGCCAAAATCAGCCTCTTTTTTGGGAGGCTCTTTGCTGGAAGTGCTGGAACCGCCTCTGAATGCAGGTCAAAGTGTGTTCTATGATGATATCACGCTTCATGTTTGAGGATAAAGTGGACTCACTGGTGTTCTCTAGGATATGATGTCACTTTCTGCCCTTTCACTGATACTCTTCGCTTCGACAACCCTCGGATTCATGAGGTACGGTATTTATTTCTAAATGAAATCGTTCTATTCGAGAATTGATACTGTAGGACAAGAGGATACTTTCACCACGTATGATAAAACGCCTTCGATTCTCATGGGTAGGCAATTTCTTGACCTCGGAACGCGTTGAATTGTATCCATGCCACCGTTTCCAAAAATTCAGCAAAAAAGACAGAGAAAAAAAATCTATTTTGTTCCATTAAATCCAGCTGACTCGAATTAGGTCTCTTCAGTTACAAGAACTTGTGATTTTTCCTTTAATTTGGCTTGAATTAATGTCTCAGCTCTTCAAGGTGGATCTGAACTCAACCCTGGATGATAGATACGACCCTGAAAGATCATATCAAATTTGGTCCAGTCCTAAAAAATTTAATGAGACGTCTAATAAGGTGTGGATTGACATTTCTATTAGAGTGAACGTGATAGAGCCATTTGTGGTAAGCACACATAATAAGTTAGTTACTTTAGTAAAGAATCAGTTAGACTTACGTCATTTTCATATTTTTGCTTGAAAATTTGCTAAAAAAACTAGTGGAAAACTGTGCATTTCGAGTCATTCCCAGAAGTAGCATCGTAAAGATAGGCCAAGATGGCGTCCAAAAGTATCCCATATCCCGCCACCTTCCCATCGACCGCGCGCCGAGCGTCTCTATACCCTAGAGTAAAGCAAGGACATGATGGTGAAGCATGGAACTCTTAAAGCCCAAAAGGGGCATGCCAACTTACTAATCAATTGAAATCTTACACAAGGAGAGTTTATAACTGTTCGCGAGATTGTTTGTTTATTTAGTTTAAGTCGCTCTCCGAGGAAACCTGATTGCCCGCTACCAGGGTATACCAGGGTAATCGCATACGCGATAAATATGAAAAAGCATTTCACGAATATCGCAGATTGCGCGCTAAGGAGTGGATTTCAAACTTCTGTGACGTGCGCCACGTGATTTTCGAGCAAATTTTCCCTTCGAATGTATATGCAGTCGGCTGCATTTCTTGCTTGCAACAGATCCATTATGGACATCGATAACCTCAGCTTTTTCAGCACTTACATGGGTGCTCAAACAATACGCAAGTTTGAACACATTTTTTGCATGAATATCTTTCCATAACATCTAAAAAAATGCCTGCCGACGACGCGTACTCTTTACTTTACAAAATCGACTGATGCAAATTAAAAAACAAGCTCATTTAATGATTATCAATCCGACACCTTTTCCTTGAGCACGAGTAATTGCGGTCGTTCATACAAGTGTAAATCATTTAAATTGTGGCATTAATAATTAAAAAAATCTTTTTAAAATCTTACAATAAGCCTAGTTTCAGAGCAAACCTCTTTCATATCTACATCAGTCTAAGTTGTATTGAAATTTCATCATTGCCACTGTTAACTTCTCATAAGAACGGAATCAGTTAGCATCACAAATGGACGTATATCTATCGAACAGATTTATGAGAAGGTGAGAAATATGGGGTGTGCTCGTTAGTTCTCTGGCCGCGAGAGTAAATGAGAATAATAAAGCGCCAGTGACGTCAGCGGCAATGATCGAGCTGTGGCGCGAGGGGGAGATGGTCGTCGAGGCGCTTCACCTCATGAGCCCTGTCCACAACGCTCTCGTCTCATGCCCGCGGCTCATGAGTCCCGCATTCAGTTGGCACATAGTTCTCTTTGCACAATTTAAAATCCCGCTTTTCCAATTCTTCAAAAGGAACCACGCCCACCGACCACATTGTTTCTTATCCAGCTTTCTAGAGCACACCCCATATTTCTCGCCTGCACAGTGCACATAGTTCTGTTTGTTAGAAACACGTCCAAATGAGAACTGGTCTCTAATTTTTCAGCTCATTTTCAAAACAATATTTGCAAGCAGAAAGCGGCCGGACTGGGTGATAGTCGATAATCTCATAGTTAAATACACACCATGCAGATCTCCAGAAGCAGTCGAAGGATTCAAACCGAGGCCTCAAAAACAAAGTTTCTACAACAGAGCATACAACAGAGTGTTTGGTTCTACCCCCAAAACATTTACTCCGGGTCTTCCGGATCCGAAACCGTGGCGATCGCTTTGGGGATTACTTCCGAAACAACCCCCGTCAAAATCATCGACTCCAAACTCGTCCGTGCTATCATCTTGGCGGAGACGGTTTTCCAGATCATCTCTGCGGAGACGGTTCTCCGGATCATCTTTGCGGAGACGGGTCTCCGGATTATTTCGAAAGAAACCGTCTTCAGAATCGCCTACTCCGGGATCGCCTTCAGAATTGCCCACTCCGGAATCTCCCTCGAAACCATCCGTACGGAAACGATTGGCCGGAATTTTTTCAAGGAAATCGTCATCAACGTCACCAGCTTCGGAATCGTCCTCGAGACCATCTTTACGGAAGCGTTGGGCCGGAATATTCTCAAGGAAATCGTCATCAACACCAACAGCTTCGGAATCGACAGAGTCCACGCCCTCCAGCAGCTTGAAGCCTAATATGACATCCATATTCCGAAACCCGTTTGGTCGAATCCGTAAGCGGTCGAAATCGAATTCGGAAAAAGTGTGAGATGGAGAGAACCACACAGTTAAAAATTTCCGTGATAATGGGTACTTGGCTTACTTTGCATTACTTCTTTTCGGTCAGATCAACCAAAAATGTTACGTTGAGTCAGCAAAATTCGGTTCGACTGAATCTTGTTGATTCCAAATTTTTTTGTGAACTAAAATCAACTAAAAACCCGAAGAATAACCAATAAATTTGAATACTTAAAACAATCAATGGTATTAACGCATTAATTTCATAATTTTAGCTGAAATAAAGAGAGGAATTGAATCAAATTTTCGAAAAATTGAAAATAAGCCAAAAATAAAACGGAAATAAATCAATCTGACTACATTTTGCAACAAGAAACTAAAATGTCTGGCTCATCCATAAAAACACTCATCTACATTGGGAAACCAGTGTACATTTGTCGTTTCTGAAATGAGCCGGATATTATAGCTCTTCGTTTAAACATGTGGTTCAATTTAAAGTGTTGTAAACCCCTGCATCAGTATCCTTAATGCTGAGCATACATCTATGATCACGTTTTGTGTTAAAAATGAGGTATTACGTAAAACAATAAGATAAATTATTAGAGGATAGGGTAAAATTGGCAGCACGGCTGGGGTCACAGTGGCGGGTGTGAAATCTAGGCTCATTTCTGTGTTTAATGAGGGCAGCGAGCGCTGGACCGCTTTTTTATTTAAATCTTAATTAAAAATAATTAGTTAAAATATCTGTGGAGCCGGGACGAACTGGCCGCTTTTTTTTCTTTCGTTTCGGCACTAAATTAGAAGAATTTCGCTTGACCCCCGGTGACCCAAGCCTCTTGAGAAGTGTCACCTCTTGAATGCGCAGCGCCGCACAATGGGTGGAGTCAATGAGAGAGGTCGGACAAAAGTCGGAAACTTTAACCGCTTATAACTCCGTTTATACACAATTTTAAGGTTCTAAAAGTAGTTCCAATGGTTTCCTCGGTAAATTTTCTCCTAGAAGCACCCCTTAAAATTTATCATGTGATAAAATGAACATCAAAACTTGCACTTTTAATAAAACATTTCATGTCCGACCTCTTTGATTGACTCGATTCACAGTGCGCCGTTTTGGCTGTTCCTCTATTCTTTTTTTTTTTTTTTTTTTTTTTTTTTTTTTCCTTTCGGTCCTCCACTTTTTTTTTTTTGTTTCGCGAGTGTCTCGGAGGCTCCGCCGGTCAAATATTTTTGAGACTTTCCCATGCACAGTAAGAATCCAGGGGCACGAAGTGACTTCACCACAGTCAAGCAAAGATCATGGGACTCCATGCCAGATTTTGAGAGCTTTTTTCAGACAGAGCGTTACATTAGAAGAAAGTTTGAAGAACATTTAAATGTTCTATTCTCACAGGATACGCACATCGTTCCCCACAGTGTGTATCCTATAGTAACAAATATACCACCACTGCCGTGCTAAGAAAGAACACCGTGTGGACATTTGAGAGTTGCCAAATTTCCCCGCTTAAATATTTATTTTTGAGGAAATTCATGCATAATTCTTCTTGAAATCAGATATTGTATATTAAATTTCAAACTTAATTGTCCGGAAAATCTGGTTGAAAATACAGTCTCTGTAGTGTGAAAATATTGCAATCCTAATCTCGGCGCTTTAGCTCAGCTATTTCACGTTGTTTGAACTTTGAACAGCACAGGGTGAGGAAAGAACAATGTTCAATTGAGAAGTCAGGCAGAACCGTGAAAGTACGCGATTTAAAACGTTTTTCTTGTGAGCGGAAAATGCAAGTTTTTCAAAGACAACCAATGCTAAAAAAAAATAAAAAAAAAAAAAAATAAAATTATAATCTTTATTTGGAGTTAATATTAGTTATTTTCTTTGCGCAAATTGTGTTACATATAAAATGTACAAGAAGCAACATACATGTATGAAAATGCTTAAATTTGTACTTTTCCTGGTGGTCGATCATGTAAGATTGAAAATTGCCTTGCTCTAGTATATATTTCTGAGAAAAAAATGTAAAATGGAAAACTTCTGTTATTGTTTTCGCACTGCAATTTTTATGCGATATTTCTGTAATAATTCGGTCAAGCTATCGAAAAAAGCTGTAAGTTTACAGATTAAGCTCTGTGGAAATGGACCTTGAGCAATTCCAAAGGAACACTTTATTAGAAAGTTTGTATTTGAAAGTGTTCATTTTCGTCCGTCCTCATAAAATTGGTTAGGTAAAATTTGCAACATCGCGAATTAAGGTATGATCCGTCGATAGTAAAAAAAGAAAATGTGTAACTGCGTACGCGCTAGGGTGTAAATACAGCGGTAACCGTGATCCTCTGCCATCAAGCCGAAGTGATACTGTAGAAGGCGCTGTGAGCAACTATTCCGCCTCAGAAGTGTTGCACAGTATCAGGCGAAAATGAAGGCGCACTGCCGTATGTAAATTGCCTGGTATCGCTCACCATTGTGTTCTGTCCTCCTGAGCCTAAGATATTGCGGCTCCTGTTCCATCGATTTTTGTGAAACTATGTACCAGGCGGCAATTTTTGACGGCTAACTTGAATTTTAACTTATATTTACACAATTTGAAAATTCAAGAAGGTGCATGTGACCCAAAATGCTACCTCGGCTGGTGTTTGATCGACTTTCGTAGAACTTGGTGCGAAGGGTCATTTTTTCTTGTAAAAGTCAAGTTTTCAGTATAATTTACGCCACATCATAGCAGAACTCAAACAATCATACTTCGAGGAAAATCTTTAAATAAAAGCAGAACTTACTAGGAATTAATAAACCAAAAAAAAATAAATAAATAAGAAACCGTAATGAAATGATAACCTGCCACCAAAGTGATACAAATACACTTCTTACTTTGGCATACGATATTTTGCTGTAATCGTGCGACAGTACGAACTCGCCGCTGAATTCAGTTCCGCGGTTTCGACTTATGAAACCACGTGAAAAAACATGGAAGATCATAACACGAGGGGTAAAGAGGAGGGAGGGGGGAGCTAAACGTTGGTGAAAATCATAAACCTGCTTGAGATCATAATGACTCCGCTTCCGGGGGGCCGGGAGGGGGGAGGGGGGAGGGGGAAGGAGAGGGGGAAGTTTGGACGCTAGCGGAACACGGTGGTGGTAAAATGAATCAAATTGAACCAGATAACTAGGTAAACGATGACTTCAGAATCAACCGAGTCTCGCAAAGGCCTCGTTTGAAGTGCAGCGTTGCCAAGTCCTCTTGAAATTCGCTAAAAACCTCGAGAGCGCACGGAGTTATTGAATCGGTCATTTTCAAGTAGTCTTAAGCGCCAAATATGAAAATACAAGAAAAACGGTGAAAGCTGCATTAAACGTGCCATTTTAAATCGCCGATTAATAAAACATTTCAATCAAAGACACAGAAAAAAGCGGAAAGAAGGCTAAAATACAAAATATAAAGGTAGGACGTTTCGGTACATTACGGCACCATTATCAACTGCAAAAAAGAATTAAAAATAAAAATAAAAAAGAAATTAAAAGAAAAACCAGCAAACAGCGTTACATATAATGCTGTACATATATTAAGTATTTTTAAAAGAAAAGATGAAGTTGCACAATTTTAAAAACTCTGTAATTGCATTGGTTCCTTTTTGCCAAATGCGACCATGCGACCAATTTCACTATGTAACGCAGTTTACTGGTTTTTATTTTAATTTCTTTTTTATTTTTATTTTTAATTCTTTTTTGCAGTTGATAATGGTGCCGTAAGGTACCGAAACGTCCTGCCTTTATATTTTGTATTTTAGAATTGTATTTTGAATTTAAGGTTTCGATGGCTTTAGTTTAGGCAGCTTAGTTTCTGGCGTCAAAAATCAACGCAGCTGGCTGATTAGGTTAGGTTATTATGCAATTTGATCATGGCTGTTCGAGGTAACTGCAAACTGTCGCATTGCCGTGTTAGATACGCTCACTCACCGAACACAAATGTTTATGAGATTCCTTCAATTTGCTTGGTATGCAATTTGAACACCGAAGAGTTTTAAAATAGATGCTTGTAGTCAAACTGCGGCGCTGGAGTAAGGCGTTTTTTATCATTGCACTGGGTTATAAATTAATGGATGTTCTTAAAACTCCTTCAATTCGTTGTGCATGCAATTTGATCCCCGGGGAGTTAAAATAGTTGCCCGAGGTAAACTCAAATTACCTCATCACATCGTTGCCACTCCTGGTGGGCATTAACTCATGAGCACTATCCATAACGCTCTTTCCTCATGCCCGTGGCTCACGAGTGCCGCATTCTGCCGCATTCAATTTGCACGTAGTTACCATACGCTGCCACAAAAGCACGCAGAAGATAGCACTTACGGCTGTCTTGCCAAATACCAACCTAACCTGAAACTGAACTTTACCTGTTTTATGTATACTTTAAAATGAAATCGGCCGAGTTTTAATCCCCCAAATGATTTGAAGTCTATTTGAGTCTATCGAATGATTGGTTGCGATTTGACAAAGAACGGAGGCTTCTTTCAATAAAGTGTTCCACTCAGAAGCTTCTAGGCCCATTTTCTTAAAACTTCATTTTTGCACTCTCTTCGCTATCACGGCAGAGGGTGTAAAAACTTGAAAAATTCGTTCGTCGGCGGCTCAAGGCGGCGGCAGCGCGGTGGTTGGCGGTGGTGGCGTGATTATCGCGGAGACAGTCTATCGATCAGGTGTCGTGAGGGGCACGGTGGTGGCCGAGCGAGGCGCGGCGCGGCCCGGCAGGCTGGCAGTGCCAGGTGACCCCCAATGGACCCTGGCCTGTCCCTCGCCGCCGCCCGCCGTCCCGTCCCTCACGGCCACCCTGTCCACCCCGTGCCGCTTCACCCTGTGCCGAGCACGGACCGGTACTCGCCCCGGGTCACCACCGCCCACCGTCCACTTCTTCCCAACTTCTATCGATTCGCTCCTACCCCGCGAGACGCCGCGCCGCTTAGCCAGCTTTTCGTCGAGCCACCGAGGCTCCGTCCCTTGAGCCTTTTTCTCTAGGGACTCCCTAAAACTACTCATATTTGGTATCCTGTCATCAGAGCAGGAAAGAGGAATTTCACGTGAAATTTCATGCAATAGGGAAACACTGGAAAAAAAACACATTGGATCTAGAGTCCAGACTCTTAAAAACATCGACAAGAAAAAATACTCTTGATTCAATCGGATTTTTGCTTAAATCAAGAACCAAGCCTCTTAATTTGAGCAGATTTCCTTTTGATTCCAGCAAAAATCCGATTGAATCAAGATTATTTTTTCTTGTCCATGTTTTTAAAAATCTGGATTCTAGATCCAATGTGTTTTT